GCTGAAGCTGCCTCTTTCTAGTTTGAACCAGTTAATCTAACTTTTCTGCTATGCTGGTAGCTTTCCTGTAAGGAAGTGAAAACTCAGTGAGCTAATGTAAATATCTGGCACATTGCTCAACAAAGGTTACTTTAATATCACTAGTCTTCTCTCAAGTGATTTAACTTGCCTCAGTCTGATTTCCAAATGAGTGAGGGCATTTCTTGATGAAAATATTCAGGGCTCCTTTTTGTCTGCTCCCCTCCTCATGCACACACAAAGCAAATGTCCACATTAAATTTCATCACCCAATCTCTTAGAATCCCCACTAATGATTTTCATTGTCCTTTTAGCTTATTTTTGTACCTAAAACCTCATAGACATTTAACAAGTGACTTGTGAACCTTAAGCTAAATGAAAATGGATTATTCAGATGAAAGGTATGTGGATAAGTCAGTTTGGGGGCAATGCTAGAGCACTCTTGCCAGAACTAGTATCTTTGTTTTGGTCTTCAGAGACTATTAAATGTGATCACTTGAGTCATACTTGCTGTTTGCTCTGTCCCCTGGCTATCTCTCTCTTAAGACCCTGAAGCTTGCCAGCCACACACAGGAGGTTTAAAAGGCAGAGTAGGCCTTATCCCTGGAGGAGTTTGTTTATTTAAAGGAAAATAATTAAGTTCAAACATCACTACCATGTTACAGCTAGTCTAGTCATGTTAGTGAGTTCTTTTGCTACTTCCTGGTGGTCACGGTGCCTCAAGGGAAGACAAATGTAAAACTAGTTAAACTTTTTCAAGATTACTTTGAACCGTTTTACTATTGTCCCAAACAGAAATTCCTGATCTGGCAGAAGAAAAAGGAATAACATGTATTTTGTTGGTTGTTTATTTCTTTTCAAAGGGTACTCATTTCAATTTTTTGCTACTCTTTTCTAGAGTTCTGATGTAGATCATTTCAAAACCAAATGACAGAAAACCTACAGTATGATAGTTATCTCCTTACTGCATCTTCAAAGTTGGGATCTTACGAATCTTTAAAATGAGACACTATTAACTATCAGTGTGTGGACGCAAAAAAAAAAAAAAGTATGACGTTTGTGGTTTTAAGTAATTATCAACTCAAAATTTATGACTTCTTTCTTCTTGTATATTTTATGCCTGATAAGGAACTCCAAAGGGGATATATTGGGCTTGCCCTGGGGTACCAGGGCACATCTCTTTAATTAGATAGCTTGTAAAAGGAATTGGAGGAGGATTAAGCCATAGAGATTATCTGTTATATTCCAGGCAGAGGGAAAAACAAGTTTTGCAGTTCTGAAGTGAGAACATTGTAGTGTGTTTAGGGAAAGAGTTGTAACATGACTGGAATGGAATGAACAGTGTAGACAGTAATGGATGTAAGGTTAGAGAAATGGGAAAGAAAAATCAGATTATAGTTTTTATGGAGCATTTGTTAGGATTTGACTTTCGGAATAGAGAAACAAAGTTAGACAGCTTATACACAAGGATAAGTTTCTTTTGTAAAGAGCTAACCTGGCTTTTGAGGTGAGCAAGGGTGAAGCTGGGAGATTTAGAAACTTTTATTTAAGTAGATGTAGATGAGCACCAAAGTGACTTGGGCCATGTAAGAGTGGAAGTGTTAGCGTGGTAATAATCTTTGAAACTGGATCTCCTACACCAATCATTTCTGTGTGGATAGTGATGACTTCAGTAATGATGTTCAGACTAATTGCTGGGTTCAGATTCTATTAACTTGGTTTATTCATTGTAAATAGCAACCATTGATCATTTTTTTTTCAGATCTATTATATCATTAGGAATTGCCAAATGGAGTTTTTTTTTAATGTATTTCCCTCTTTATTATTTGGAATCTTAAAAAAAGAGCTTTTACTAATTGGCTGCTTAGTTACTCTGTGTGTGTGGGGCGGGGGAGGATGGGGTGGAGTGCACTTTTGTTGTTTAAGGTAGGCGAAGGCCACACTCTTTTCCTTTATCAGTTTTCAAAACAGTTAGTTTTGAAAAGATGGCCTGGCAACTTCCCAGATGAATATTTTAAGTAATTGGTCCTTGGCTTTTGGCTCCTTGTATTCTTCCAAGTTGGTCTCTAATTTTATTCACACTACCCTAGTTTTCTTGGATAGCCTGTACAGCAAATACCCAGGCATATTGGTTGCTTTAAAAAAAAAAAAGGCTAGGTCACATGTTTACAATAGTGTTAACATTTATGGCTTTGATGTACTGTCCCCATACTTTACTACCACCACAGTAACCCAAACACTCCACCAATGTCCTATGACACTTCCAGGTGACCTCCTCTTTCCCTTTCCCACCTTTCATGGTATTCTTGGTTCTGTAATCCAGAGCTAAGAATTTTTTATCATTTGATACTGTCTGTCTGTTCTCTTTGTTGTTGTTGTTGATGATGCTTTATATTCATATGATGAGCGAGATCATCACCTGGTATTTGTTCTTCTCCCTCTGATTTACTGCACTTACCATGATAGCCTCCAGTTCCATTCAGTTCATGTCAAACTGATCATTCTTTCTTAAAGCTGCATGGTATTCCATTGCGCGTGTGCACCATCACTTCTTTTTCCCATTATCTGTTATTGGACATTTGGGGTTTTTTCATATTCTGATTATAAGCATTTATTTTAAATATAAACTAATATTTGGAGAGTATGATATATCTGTTAGCTTTCAAAGTAGATAATAATTGCTTCAAGACCACTTCAGGTGACAGGCACAGAATGAGTAATATATATTTTTATTCATGTAAAATAATGAATTCTTACTGGCACCCCAGTTCACATTTAAGTTTGTAGAATTTTGTATTCAAATTTCTTTTCTCTCATGCTTCGTGTGTTGGTTGCCTATGACAAATATTTATTTTTCCGCATTTGTAATACGGAGACTACAGTATAGTTTAAAGGATTTTTTTTTTTACTTTTTAATGCATCCTAAGAATATGCTCTTTAAAAATTTTATGGGGACGGGAGAGATAGGTCAGTGGACTGGAACATAAAATGTGCATGCAGGAGACCTGGATTGCATCCGTGATCCCTGAACACCAATCCAGGTGTAGCTCCTAAGCAGTACAAGGTGTGTCCTCAAACAGGAGACCTAAAAGATAAATTGTGGGGGCTAAGGAGCTAGCTTAGCAGTCAGGGTACATGGTCTGCTCAGCAGGGACCTGAGTTTAAATCCTCTCATCACATATGCTGCCCCCCCCACTCCCCCCAGAGCTTCCGTGTGTGCACCTGCTGGTCGTTATCACCATGGAGCCATCAGTGGCTGAGTATTGCCTGACCTTATCCCTAGGTTTCCTGTGCACTGCTTGCCCTGCTTCCTCATAGTCCCCCCTCCCCCAATTTTAGTATCTTGAAATCATATATAGTCTGCTTTGTTTGTTCCTGTTCTTTATTTTTATAGTTTGGGTTGGGGATGGCTTGGGCCACATCTGCTGGTGCTCAGTGCTTACTCTGCTCAGTGATCACTACCGGTAGCGTGTAAGACAAAGTGCCTTAACCTCTATTTTTACAGATTTTGAAGGGTCTTTTTGAGTTAATTTTATGTTTTATATTATTTTAAAACATGGTTCACAATACAAACTTGAAAGCAAGTTACAAGCTGTTACTGCCCTGTTTTCTCTTTACTCTATAACTTTGTATATATTTATTTATTTATTTATTTGGCTTCTTGGGTAACAGCCAGCAATGTGCAGGGGTTACTCCTGGCTCTGCACTCAGGAATTACTCCTGGTGGTGCTCAGGTAACCATATGGGATGCTGGGGATTGAACCCAGGTTGGTTTCATGTAAGGCGAACGCTCTAACCACTGTACTCAGCCCCAGCTCTGTAACCATTTAAAGATGGTTTTGACGTAGTCTTATCCTTTTGTGGGAAAAAGTAGAAACACAGCATTTGTGTTTGTATTTCCCAAATTTTTTTTTCTTACAAAAAGTAACAATATAGAATACTAATTTGGCTACAAGATAGGAAGTAGGGAATACTGGGTTCCATTGAGGGTTCTTTTTGTTTGTTTTTGAGCCCTGCATGGCAGTACTCAGGGATTACTCCTGATTCTGTGCTCAGGGATTGGTCCTGGTGGTGTTTGAAGGACACTCAGGATTGAACTTCTCTCAGTGGCTTGCAAGGCAAGTGCTCTTCCTGCCAACTTCTCAGTTCTTATAAGAGATTTTTTCTAATAGATTCCTAGCTATGTCCACAGGAACTCAATAGACACTTGTTTGAGAAAGAAAAAGACCCCTGCCCAAGTCATATTTTGCAATATCTACCAGAATTGCATAGCTAAAACTTCTTTTTCTAGAAGTCTTTTTTTCCCCCAAGTTACACCAACAAAATTGCCAAGTGATATCTGCTTTTGTTCCAGTTGCTTGAAAGTTGAGGCCCTGTCTCTATGACGTTTTCTTTATGGATTTTGTTTGGCATTGATATCTATAGTGCAGTTGTATAAAAGTGGTGTTTTGAGACTGCCATTTTGAAATACTGTCAGGTTAAATAATTCATCAAGTTATGTTAAATCACCAATTACTTTTCTGAGAACTTATTGAACCCTTACTGCATGGCAATGATTGCCTCAGGTGATTGAAAGAGATCAGTAAATAAAACTGACAAATCTCTGGAACTTACTTTGTGGAAACAAATAGGCAGTTTGTTTATTGTTCATAATTGTGCAGTGTTAGGGCTCCTCTTTATTTATGTATATATTTTTATTTCCAGGTTTGGGGGCCATACCTGGTGTGGTCGGGGGCTACTCCTGCGCTGTGCTTAAAGGTCATTCCTTGCATTGCTTAGGGCATCATATGCAGTGCTAGCTAGGGTCAGCCTCATGCAAGGCAACTAAGTACCTTACCCACTCTTTAGCCCACTGCCAGTGCTTTGTAATAAGTCACTTAGAACTGTTGGGATAGTTTCCTCTAGTTCCTAAAATGTAGATAATTGTCTAAAGATCTTACGTTTTTGTTACAGTTTTTTTAATTACCTCATCTTTATTTCAGAGATGACCATTAAGAAGTAGATGCTCAGATGTAAAAGTGATGAAAGAGTCAATTTGTCATAACATAAGATGCAGCTGTGGCTTTTCAACCATATTAGTAAGTGTGACTGCAACTTTGTAAGTTTGTTCTTATTTCTTCTACTTTAAAAAGTATTTAATAAATATAGAGTGGGCATTAAAAAATTGTCAGCTTGTATTTATGTTTTTACTTGAGTTATTGAACTAATTTTAGATGTATATATAGTTCTAGAAAATGTGTACTTTTTACCTTTTCCTGAAATTATAGTGATATTATGAAGTCATAGCTTTGTCAGAAATACATACTATATATATAAAGGAACTTTAGTATTACATATATATAAACACATTGTTTATATATATCTGATAAAGCTACGATTTCATATGTAAAATAACTTTAATACTACTACCTAAACAGAGCTACCTATAATTTTGAAGTATTTGTATTCTCTGTCTTTTTTCATCATATTTTTAAAAAACATAAATTTGGTCATAGTGTTACGAAGAGTATGTTTTTCAATATATCTTTTGAAATCAAATTTTAGATGTTTCTCTCTGGGAATAAAATTTTACCTTTCAGTAGAGTGTTTCTTATTAGGGTAATGAGATGTTCCTGAAATTAGATGGTAGTGATGGACACATGACTTTGTGAATAGAGTAACTGCCACTGAACTTTACATCTTAGTTTTACAAAGTTAATTATATTTAAGAAAATAAAATATTTTTTAGAATATTAAATCTTAGCAAGAGTAAAAGCCAATTGTCTACTGATATTATAGAATGTGAAAATGTGCCAATATAATTTTACACATATCAGAAATGACTTGTTGAGAAGTAGAATAAGTATCTTTATAAAATAGAATAAGTATCTCAAATTATTAGAGAGTTGCTATCTCAGGTTTTCATAATACAAAATGTTATAGTATTTTGATTATTTACTAAGTTAATTTTGTAACTTATCATTTTTAAGAGAGTTTCTGCTTTGAAACTAACATTTCAATTTTTCTACCTGAGATTTTTTTAGGAACACAATTTTATGTATTTTTCTTCGAAGAGAATTTCACAAGGTAAGAAATCATGTTAAAAAAAGTAATATAGTTGAATACTAACTTAAGTGTTCTGGAATTTTAAACAAGTTCTTCACCCCAATATTTATTTCATAGCTTTCTTTATTATAAGATTCTCATAAATTTGTTAGTTACTCCTTTACTACTTCTGAATTTGCTAGCAATACATAGTTTATCTTGTTTTAGGTTAGGATTTAAAAGGTATGATAAAAATTGTCACCTTTGAAACTCAGATATTGCATATCATGGTCATAGCTTACTCCTAGTATTCTTTTCCTGTTCGGCTTTTGTGCCACACCCAGTGGTTCTCAGAGTGACTCTAGAGATCACACCTGCCATGCACAAGGGACCATGTGGGATACCAAGGATGAACCTGGGTCAGCTGTGAGACAGACACCGTAACCTGCTGCACTTGCCCTGGGGCCCTGATTCCTAACGTTCCTGGGAGAGAGGAGTTGATCTGTCCATTCTGGGGAAATGTGCTTTTCTTTCACTGAACTGCTTCTTTCTTTCATCTCTGTGTACATTTATTAAATAACTTTGGAGAGAAGAGGGTTCATAGAAGGTTTCTTGGCTTATTTAGTCATATTTCTACCGATAAGATTTTATATAACTTCTACATATAATTTTCTAAGATAAAATGCTTCCTTAGCTAGAAAATGTATATAAATAGATCAGTGGACTAAATGTCCTCCAACACCACTGGTGTGTGTGTCCTTACTAACCTTTAAGATTTTTTAAATTACTATTATAAGCTGAATGATTGCTATTGGTTCACATTATAATAGTTATTAGAATTGTGTAGTATGAACTGCTCAAGTCAGAAGATAGTAAAATCCCCTTATTATTTTATGCCAAGAATTTAAAATTAATTGTTGGGCCAGGAATATAACTCAACAGACTGCCGCACGTGCTTTGCATATAGGAGGCCGAGTTTCATCCTTGGCACCACAGGATCCCCTGAACATAAAGCCAGGAGTAGCTCTGAAAGCATGTGGCCTCCAAACCAAAAACCTAAAAATTAATTGCTTGACAGCCTTAAGTTATTTTGATACAGGTATCAGTGATCACTGTTTGTTCAATCTGTCAACTGAAAATACATTTATCCAAGCCAGTAACTGTTTTGTAAATTATTCCACCATTTCTGTATCCTGTGTCCTAAGGGGAATATCTCAAATGCATCTTTTCTATCTATTTGCAAACCTGCCAAAGATTTAATCAGTTTTTATCCTGATAACTGAAAAAAAAAAAAGGAGTGAAATAAAAGAACTTCTAGTGAGGGAGAGAGGCAGAGCAGCATCAGTGTTCATTTCCAGGTGATGCTTTTTTATTTTTTGCTTCTAAGATGGGGACTCAGGGAAGCCCCTGGGAACCCCTCTGCAGTGTTTTCTGCCCCCCTCCCCCTTTTTTTAAGGCATTGCTCAAAGACAGGCGCCCAGAAGCAGCTTATCACAGGTCTCCTCACTGGAGATTGTCTATGGGAGCTTCACAGTGCCAGGTCCTGGTTATCTTTTTGCTCTCCTAGAAGAGAAGGCCTGAGAGTGTGGGCAACCCCGAGAGGGGAGGTGTCAGAGAGGGGCTTCCACCCAGTGCAGGAACCAGAAGAACCTCAGCACTTTCATTGTGCGAGAGAAGGCTCCTAGGGCCACTTTGTTTGGGGATGTAGGAGGAACCGTGGAGCTGATTCTGTAGTGAAATGAAAGGGCAGCTCGTGTCTTCTGAAAGGGAATTGAGGGCCAGGGGAGGAGACTCAAAGGATTGGAGACATGCTGTGCATGTGGGTTCAGTCCCTGACACCCCAAGCCCTGCATGATTCCCTGAGCATTGCCAGAGAAGTCTCCTGAGCTCAGAGCTGGGAGCATCTTGCAGCTCTAACATGCATGGCCCCCAAACAAACAAACAAACAAAAACAGGAAAGTGAATCAAATGGCAAGGCTTTTTGAAAGTAATAGTCCTATGTCAACGCTTAAGTCTGTAGAATTTTTTTTAATGTAGGAGTATTGCTATTTATTCAGTGATGGATTAGACTGATTGAATTGGGCATAAACTCCACGTTACTTTTTTTCTTTTTTTGAATCACCATGAGAGCAGTTACAAAGCTTTTGAGTTTAAGTCTCAGTCATACAATGATGAAACACCCGTTTCTTCACCAGTGCACATTTTCCACCACCAAGAACCCCAGTATACCCCCATCCCACACCCTCCCTCTACCTCTGGGGCAGATGATTTTCACATTACTCTCTCTCTACTTTGATTTCATTCAATATTTTGACCCCATATCCACCATTATTATTTGGCATTTTACCCCAACACTCAGATCTGCCAAAAAAGTAACCGCAGACAATTTGTTTTCTGTTGCTGGTTATGAATAACATATGATGTCACCTGGCCGCGGTAGTGGCCACACGATTTTGGAATTCCAAAATTTTAACAATTAAATCTGGAGGGATTTCTGCCCAAATCTGCTGGGTTCCAAGATTCATTCCTGAGTCTCTGGGATCATGGCCATTAAACAGCTTGATCAGGAGCCAGAGACGCTATTTGTGGGCAGTGACTCGGGGTCTTATTGGGGTGGGGAGGAAAGGGCCAGTTCCACCCCCATCACGTGAGGCCCCATGTGTCTTGTCACTGCGGGCTCAAACCTGACTGTCCAATGGCCTCTGGAAGATGGCGGCCACCGAGCTGCCAGGAGGAATAGGCCTAGGCACGAAACCTATTCTGACCTGGGGTGGCCCGGCACTGGTAACTTACTGTGGGGACTGGATGCATCTCTACCAAAAGCCGCTGGGTTCCGAGATTTGTTTCTGAGTCTCTGGGATCATGGCCGTTAAGCAGCTTGATCAGGAACCAGAGAGGCCGTTCATGAGTGGCGACTTGGGTTCTCATTGGGGCAAGGAGGAAAGGGCCAGCTCCACCCTCATCCTGTGAAGCCCCAAACCTGACTGTCCAGTGGCCTCTTGAGGTTGGTGGCCACTGAGCCGCCAGGGGGGACAGGCCAAGGCATGAAACCTATTCCAACCTGGGGTACCCAGTGCCGGTAATCTACTGCCGGGGACCAGACGCATCTCTGCCAAAAGTCGCTGGGTTACAAGATTTGTTTCTGAGTCCCTGGGATCATGGTCTTTAAGCAGTTTGATCAGGAACCAGAGAGGAGTTGCCTCCAATTATATAGCTGAGCCAGAGATGGTTTGTGGGTGTGTCTCCCACATACCTAACTTTTGGCCATTTGCTTTCTTGGTAAACTGGGCCCCAAGTTGTTGGGGTCTGGCCACAGGCACAAAGCAATTTTGGGGTATCTAGAAGTCTGAAGGCACCATCAGTCTGCGGATACACAAGCCTCACTGGTACAGATTGACCTGCTGGCACCACCATACCCCCCTGTAGAATTTTCAGTGGCAAGACTAAAAGCCCCTAAAGTTGATGTTGATTTTGGTATGACATTCATTATTGAATATACTCCCATGCTTTAAGAAAATAGCAGGCTATATAGTTTCTTTTTTTATTTAAGTATTTTTTAAAAATACAAACTGAGTTTTTAAAAATACACATATCCAAATAGATATGACCAATGAGTAATCTAGATAATAGTCACATAACCTTAGATTCACTTAAATAAACACTCAATAAAATTAACACGAATTATTGTCTATCATTGTTACAGAGAAAATTATTTCAAACTTTGCATAAATACTATAAAGTTGTTTTGTCTCAAAATGCCTATTTACTTAAGTTTCTAACTTGAGGAGAGGAGGCTAGAGTTCTTTTGTGAATATAAAATCAGTTTTTTTTTTCCCTTTGCTTTTTTGGGTCACACCCAGCGTTGCTCAGGGGTTACTCCTGACTCATACACTCAGGAATAACTCTTGGAGGTGCTTTGGGGACCATATGGGATGCTGGGAATCGAACCCAGGTCGGCCGTATGCAAAGCAAATGCCCTACCCGCTGTGCTATTGCTCCAGCCCCCTAGAATGAGCATTTTATCTCACCTATTTTGGGATATGGTATTCATCTTCCTCCAAGTTACTTGCTTGTGGTGTGGAAGTCAGGCGAATGGTAGATAAACTTGTGTCTTTTATCCTGGAAAGATGTTATTTAGATCAGATCTAGCTTTTATGGTACAAACGCAAGTTATGATTGGGTTTCAGTCACCCAGTACATCTTAGGTTGTTCTAGGTCTGGAGGGTCCTTGGATACACTATTTGATTTCAGTGCCTGTATTATATTTGAATCTAAATAGATTATAAGAGATTTCATATGCAATGGGATGAAGGAATAGAATTTATTGAGTATATTGCTTTTATCAGACTCCCAGTCGAGCAAAGCTTTTGTTCAAAAGTAGACTGTTATTAAAGAGATAGATCTTCTAACACAAGTTCTTGATTCTAAGTTAAGACTCCAGGTGTCCCAGTTCAGTTTTAGTAAATTTTAGCTTCAGAAAGGTGGATACCTTTATCATTTTATAAAAGAACATAATTAGCTCAGATATCTTTGTTTCATGTTCCACTCTTCCTTAGAATTCCATATGAGCAGTCTTGATTTAATTTTTTTAGCTACTTACTTTGAGATGGGGGGGGGGGATGAAAAACAACCCACCAACAAACCCCCAAAACTCAGAATAGGTTGCAACTTGACACAAATTGCTGCCACAGAACAAAAGTGCTGATCAAGTTAAATCAACCTCTGTAATGTGTATTGAAAGGAAAACCTCTCCTCTCTCCCCCAATTTGAAGAACAAGCATTTTCCCTGCCAAGAAGGGCTGACTTTAAATGGACCAGCTGTCCATATTCGGAGCATAGGGTTGCTTAGGTGACCATGGCTGTTTGGTGAAGAATGCCGCTGAGAGGGCAAGTTCTTGATGTGTGAGCTGAGGGAAGGAATGTGGTGTGATTGTGCATCATTCCTCCTAATCACACGCTCACAAAGTGCTGTGTGGGCAGCATGCAGAAAGTACTAACTAGTCCGAATGTGGGAGCATCTGTGTGGTTACATGGTTTTGTTT